CGCGCGCGCCTTCTCCCTCCAGGAGGGCGGCGGCGCCTACCAGTGCGTGTCCTGTGACAGATCACATACGGGCTGAAAACATCCTGCAGCCCAGCTCAGGCTTCCTGCACAGCTGAGAGCCTCTTCCCTTCCCTTCTCCCCCAAACACACACCTGCAGATCTCTGTCTTCAGTGTCTCAAAATGCTTTGAAATCCAGCCTGAGAAAAAAGGAAAAATGGTTCTTTTGGATCTGGCCACTCACTTCACACTCACTGGGACACTTCTGCCAGCGCAAAGGCCCTTCCACGTCAAGGTATCACGCAGCTCCCCATCTTCGTATGGGTAACAGCCCAGGGCAATAAATAATGAGTGAGTTACCCATGTCAGGCTAGTCAGGCCAAGGATTATGGTTCAGAGAAAGGGAAAACCAAGGTCTGTGGTAAAAACAGGCCTGAAACAGGGCCCCTCAAGGAAACCTGTGACACGTTCTTGCTGATCTTCACTTTGGAAAGCTGAACGGTTCCCTGCTCTCATTCCCAACCTCACTTCTGGGTTGAGGTTAGCGCTAAGGGAATGAGAAAGCTGTCAGTGAGACTAAGAACTGGGCACATAAATAACCTGCAGAGCAGACTGAAGAGGACAGTCAGCTTTCTTTTCCAAATAATAACAAGCATGGTGATTTAGGAGTATGTACCTGTCCTCTGTCTCCTCTTAGGTGGGTCTGAGGAGAGTAGGCAGAGATGCTACCTTACTTCAGTAGCAATAAGCAATTACTGAAGCCACTTGACAGCTAATTTGTGGTGGGTTTTAATCTCTCTGCTTCACAAGGTCCCTTGCCCAGCTCTCAGGTGACTGTCAGCATACCGAGCAGAGGTAACCAGCTTTGGGTGGGAGCAGAACTGTGGGCATGAACTGAAGAGAGGAGGGGAAGGCAGCACAGCTCCGATTTGTTGTTGTTACAGCAGAACGTACATACACACATTATGCTTACACATTACATATCCTGTAACACGACATTTTAGATGGTGCAATTGTATCAACATGCAGACTCAGTTCATATGTTGCCCAGAAGTATGGGTGCTTACATCAACCAAGGACCACTGAAGTACGTTGCTTGGAATAAAGACACCAGAGAATTAATTTTAAAATCTTTATGTGAATATAAAAGAATTCTTTCCAAAGAAAAGTAAAACCAAAAGCTTAAAAATTAGTGCAATTTTTCAAGTTCTATGCAACACAGTGTTTACATTTGTTTTAAACAGAAGATGTAGACACCGATACACTGAAAACCTTACCTCTAGCTTGACTAGTGGGAGAAAAGGAAAAAAGCAAAAAAGTTAAGAAGTTTACTAGACATTACCAACTCTTAAACAATTGTTTTCATTTTCTAATTCCTCAACTATTTATGGCTACCTAAATAAAACATCAGTATTGCTTATATTACTTATTTCCAAGTAAGTGTATACTGTAGAAAATAGAGTACCCATATATATATATTTTTAATGAACAAAAAAAATCAGTTAGGTGAAAATTTGTTTTCAGTGAATGTTTCTCAATCCACTATAATACAGTTGTTGCAAAAGAATCTTCTCAAAACTGCTGCCTGATCCACCTTGAGTAAAAGAACCTGCTAGTCCAAAATTGGTATTATTGCTACAAAACACTTTTCTTCCATACTGGTTATTTTTAATCTTATACAAAAAAAATACTAACAAATGATATGTCAATCAGAGCACACTTTGTTTCTTTGGATCTATATTACCCATTTTAATGGAAGCTGGCTAAAGTTACTAATAATGCTGATTAAATTCAGCAATATTCAATGATTTCATCTCGTAATTTGAATCCGTTCCTAGCTGTGCTGTCTGGGCATGATACGAATTCATCTTGCAGCAGAGACAAGTAGCCTCTTTCTTCATCCTGCCTCAGCAGTGGTGCACATTGCATCAAAGAACATTGTATTCACATTGTTCTGCTGCTACGCGTTGCATACAACCGCTGTAACGCAGCAATGCTACTGGTACCTTTTTTGTTTGATGTGAATGAAGTTAACATTAAAATCATACTTATTCTACTCATCCTTTCTGCACACCCAGATGAGCTGAAGTGAATACCACACCACAGCTTATAATCAACTATTTATTTCTACAGATCGGCTCCTCATTCATAGTACATAACCCAAGTTTAACCAGTTATAAACCAGCCACTCAAACAGGTTCGCAATCCCAAAGAAACGTTTAAGTTATACGCACAGGCTTATCTTTTTAACAGTTTAGTGAAGTCCCAAATAAGTAAAATTTTATC